CACACATCCCCTTCGTGGTTCGTATCTCCTGCCCTATCTATAATTCCCAACCATCTCCGTTCCTCTTAAACCTGGTATAGCCGTCAGCGCCTGCCTTGCTTTTGATGCCGCAAAACACACATGACGGCTTGTCGCCCCAAAGCACTTCTCCACCCCTGCCTGCTTTCCCTTTCAGCTTGAAACCTTTTATTTTGCAACACCCTCAACCTCCCCCTTTATTCAGCTTTTTTCATCCATAGGAAAATTATTCCCACCCCCCCACTCCATAGCAACCTCTTAACCTATCCTCTAAATAGTTAGCCAGTCCCCTATTTTAAATTTATTAATACGTTTTCCTTCTCTCACAATAAAACTTTCTAATCCTTTCCCTTTTCGACACTATCCCACCATGTCACAATGTCATCCACTCCTGTTCTTCCACACTAAGCTCCCCCCATGGACTTTAAAACCCTCCAACCCCTCCTCATCACCTAAAAACATTATATTTAATTTCCTATAACTTCTATATATTCCGCGAGCGTCCCCCCCCCACCCCCCACCACTGCCCTATGATCTGACATTTTTAGCCTCAACAGTACTGAAAGATTTCACATCCACTCCCTGGAAAAGGTACACTCTATCTAGTCTCGCAGCATAACACTCCTAACAAACGTATATTCAGTCTCCCACACCGCTCCCCCAAAGGCATCACGTAACCTACATCCCTTAATAAATCCTAAGAGCCACAGACATATATCCAGCCCTCTTGGGTCCACATCAGCCACCCTGATTACACTATTTCCCGTCCCCACCAACTATCGCCACCTCTGGCAGTGCACTTAAGAAAACACAAGATCCTCACACACAAAATCATTCTTTACCTTTATGTTATTTTCTGCCGGCGCATACACACTCACAAAAGACACACGCTTACCCATCCACCACCCATCCACACGCAACACCCTTCCCTCCCCCCTCCCTCGCTTCTCTGCAAACAAAAGGGCTGTCTCCCTTATTAAAATTCCCCACACCACCTTTTAGACGGGAGGGTGGCAGGGTAACTACCCGAAATCCCTGCCACCTTTAACACCCCAACCCTCTTTGAAATTGTGCTCCCGCAGGGAAAACAACTTCCACTCTAGATTTATTTAGAAAATTACGAAACCAATCTCTCTTCATACCGCTACATAACCCATTAACATTTACCCGACATTACACCTAAGGCCCATTAAGTTTCCACCCCTGCTTCCTCTCATCACTCTTTACAACTCCAGAGCTTGAATTTACGTTCAACACCTTCAGAGTGCTCTCTTTCCCTCCCCCCTTCTTCCGGTGCCTCCTATCATGGCTACCACCCCCTACACCACTACCTTTACACTTCACCTTTAGTTGTTTCCCAGGCCTTTGTGCAGGCGTAAGGACGTCATCAGAATCTGATGTAGCCGCCCTTTCTCGTGAGTCATGTTAAAACCCTCTTGGTCAGATGTTACCTCTCGATGAACCTCCACCTCCACCTGAGAATGGTTTAATGAGTCAATGGACGACTCCAAACCACCATCACGTCCCAAATTATCATTGTCTCAGACTTTCTGGAAGCGACGATTCTCCAAAGACACCACGCTCGAGTAAATCCCTCTCTGGTGGTGACAACGTCTTCAACACCTCCACCAATTCCTCCTCAATCTCAAGAACTTCTCTTGTACTTGCTGCTCCTCCTTATCCACAGGAGACGACACCTGATCAGGCAGTTGGGGGCGGGACTCCAAACTCACCACCAGTCCTGTGTGCCCGATCCACTATCTCGCTCCACAAACACCACGCCCTCCATCCGATGTTTGTTCCTCACCTGCCACCTTTGAAGCAGGGGCTGCGACGTCCACCACAGGTCCAGGCACATGTCTTCGCTTGTCACAGGTCGCCGCTATGTGATCATACTCACCACATAGGGGGCAAAGTACGTCGTTGTCCTGGGTACATTACCATTACCTGCGTCCTGAAATCTTGTAGGTACACATAGGATTGGGATTGGGTGCCTCAAAGTCATTTTTAGGTTGAAAGAACCCTCTGGAAAACCCGCATGGCTCCTGCCGCCCACGTACCATGTTGGCATAATGCACCGTCCCATACTTCTCAAAAACTTTCCTTTATATCCGCCTCGTCCGCCTCAAAGGGAAACGTTGCGTAACTTGATCCAAAGTATAATACCGTAAACATCTACATTCTTACAGTGACAGCTGGTGTGACGCTAAGACTCACGTCCTGAAAACCTGGTGACCTAACGATTCATAAACCGTTGCTGATAGCAGTTTGACGAAAATTCGTTGTCCTCCGTTCATTGCTACATCATACAAGTCACTATCTTGTACTCCATAAGTCTCCCGTATGATCTTTGGCAATAAGACTTGCGCAGAACTGGGCGTTATCGTTCCTTTAAGTAGCTCGATGCCTACAGTATTTATCCTTCGTCTCAGACTAACCGCCATCTTGACGATCACAGTGCACCTAAGTTGTCAGCCGAGGTGTGACAGCACCACCTCACACCACTGCAGCCAGGTAACTGACAAGGGCGCTCGCCTACGATACAATGTTATGGTCCTTGAAGGTGAGATCCTCCGACATGATCACTCCCAGGTCTTTGACGTTGGTGTTTCGCTCTATTTTGTGGCCAGAATTTGTTTTGTACTCTGATGAAGATTTAATTTCCTCATGTTTACCATATCTGAGTAATTGAAATTTCTCATCGTTGAAGTTCATATTGTTTTCTGCAGCCCACTGAAAGATTTGGTTGATGTCCGCCTGGAGCCTTGCAGTGTCTGCAATGGAAGACACTGTCATGCAGATTCGGGTGTCATCTGCAAAGGAAGACACGGTGCTGTGGCTGACATCCTTGTCTATGTCGGATATGAGGATGAGGAACAAGATGGGAGCGAGTACTGTGCCTTGTGGAACAGAGCTTTTCACCGTAGCTGCCTCGGACTTTACTCTGTTGACGACTACTCTCTGTGTTCTGTTAGTGAGGAAATTATAGATCCATCGACCGACTTTTCACCGTAGCTGCCTCGGACTTTGTGGGTGGGGCTGTCCCAGTGACATGACTAGTGGGTGGAGCTATCCCATTGACATGACTAGTGGGTGGAGCTATCCCATTGACATGACTAGTGGGTAGGGCTGTGACATGACTAGTGGGTGGGGTTGTCTCAGTGACATGACTAATGGGTAGGGCTGTCTCAGTGACATGACTAGTGGGTGGGGCTGTCTCAGTGACATGGCTAGTGAGGGGGACCGTCTCAGTGACATGACTAGTGGGTAGGGCTGTCTCAGTGACATGGCTAGTGAGGGGGACCGTCTCAGTGACATGACTAGTAGGTAGGGCTGTCTCAGTGACATGACTAATGGGTGGGGCTGTTTCGGTGACATGACTAGTGGGTGGGGCTCTCCCAGTGATATGACTAGTGAGTGGGACTGTCTCAGTGACATGACTAATGGGTGGGGCTGTCCCAGTGACATGACTAGTGGGTGGGGCTGTCTTAGTGAGATGACTAGTGGGTGGGGTTGTTCCAGTGACATCACTAGTGGGTGAGGTTGTCTCAGTGACATCACTAGTGGGTGGGACTGTCTTGGTGACATGACTAGTGGGTGGGGTTGTTCCAGTGACATCACTAGTGGGTGAGGTTGTCTCAATGACATCACTAGTGGGTGGGACTGTCTTGGTGACATGACTAGTGGGTGGGACTGTCTTGGTGACATGACTAGTGGGTGGGGCTCTCCCAGTGACATCACTAGTGGGTGGGTCTCTCTTAGTGACATCACTAGTGGGGTGGGGATCTCCCAGTGACATTACTAGTGGGTGGGGCTGTCTCAGTGACATCATTAGTAGGTGGGGCTCTCCCAGTGACATTCTAGTGGGTGGTGCACTCCCAGTGACATCACTAGTGGGTGGGGCTCTCTGAGTGATATCACTAGTGGGTGGGGCTCTCTGAGTGATATCACTAGTGGGTGGGGCTCTCTGAGTGATATCACTAGTGGGTGGGGCTCTCTGAGTGATATCACTAGTGGGTGGGGCTCTCTGTGACATTACTAGTGGGTGGGGCTCTCTCAGTGACATCACTAGTGGGTGGGGCTCTCTCAGTGACATCACTAGTGGGTGGGGCTCTCAGTGACATCACTAGTGGGTGGGGGGCTCTCTCAGTGACATCACTAGCAGGTGGGGCGCTCTCAGTGACATCACTAGTGGGTGGGGCTCTCTCAGTGACATCACTAGTGGGTGGGGCTCTCTCAGTGACATCACTGCAAGCATTGCTGCCAATAAAATTAAATTTCTCTGAGTGAAGTTCCGCTTACTTATGTCACACGTATTAAAGAGAAGACCTTTCCCCATAGGGTTCAAAATATTTAATTTGATCAGAAAGAAGTGAACCCATAGGGGTCATATATCTGCAATCTGGGGAGGGGGAGACATTCAGGGTCAATTCTAGGACTGGGAGGGGAAGTCCAGCTCCTCGGATCAATATAGTTATTATATTCACGGAGAGCAACACTAAACTCATAGGAGTCACACAGCTTGGGGATAATAGAAGGCATTCAGATCTGATTCAAGGAATTTTTGCATTGGTCCAATTTCTTAGATGAAGAGCCCCTCACCAGCATCAAGGAACCTCTCCTGTGAGGCCACAGATGAAGAGCCTCTCACCAGCATCAAGGAACCTCTCCTGTGAGGCCACAGATGAAGAGTCCCTCACCAGCATCAAGGAACCTCTCCTGTGAGGCCACAGATGAAGTCCCTCACCCAGCATCAAGGAACCTCTCCTGAGAGGCCACAGATGAAGTCCCTCACCAGCATCAAGGAACCTCCCCTGTGAGGCCACAGTGAAGTCCCTCACCAGCATCAAGGAACCTCTCCGGGAGAGGCCACAGATAAGAGCCCCTCACCAGCATCAAGGAACCTCCTGTGAGGCTACAGATGAAGAGCCTCTCACCAGCATCAAGGAACCTCTCCTGTGAGGCCACAGATAAAGAGCCTCTCACCACTCAAGGAACCTGTGAGGCCAGATGAAGAGCCCCTCACCAGCATCAAGGAACCTATTCTGTGAGGCCTCAGATGAAGAGCCCCTCACAGCATCAAGAACCTCCCATGAGGCCACAGATGAAGAGTCCCTCACCAGCACAAGGAACCTCTCCTGTGAGGCCACAGAGAAGTCCCTCACCAGCATCAAGGAACCTCTCCTGTGAGGCCAACGATTGAGAGCCCCTCACCAGCATCAAGGAACCTCCTGTGAGGCTACAGATGAAGAGCCTCTCACCAGCATCAAGGAACCTCCCGTGAGGCCACAGATGAAGAGCCTCTCACCAGCATCAAGGAACCTGTGAGGCCACAGTTTGAAGAGCCCCTCACCAGCATCAAGGAACCTCCCATGAGGGCACAGATGAAGAGCTCTCACCAGCATAAAGGGAAACCCTCTCCTGAGGCCACAGATTGAAGTCCCCTCACCAGCATCAAGGAACCTCTCCTGTGAGCCACAGATGAAGAGCCCCTCACCAGCATCAAGGAACCCCCTGTGAGGCTACAGATGAAGAGCCTCTCACCAGCATCAAGGAACCTCTTCTGCGAGGCCTCAGATGAAAGAGCCCCTCAACCAGCATAAAGGGAACCTCCCATGAGGCCACAGATAAGACCTCTCACCAGCATCAAGGAACCTCTCCTGTGAGGCCACAGATGAAGACCCCCTCACCAGCATAAAAGGAACCTCTCCTGTGAGGCCACAGATGAAGAGCCCCTCAATGGGGTCAGCACAGAAAACTCAATTAAAATTTTGCTGTTGTTTGCCTTCTTGATATTTTTGTACATTCTCTAAGGTGAGAGAAGACATGGCAAATTTTTTATCTGCCCACCGTCCTACTGAGGGTCAATATTTCATAACTTGCTCCAGAGGTTAATAATGCAAAAGTATTATACAGTATCTTTCATTACTTACAGTTTTCTTTAACACATTCTAGCACTGACATATTTTTTTTCCCTTTTATTTCCATTATTTACATAGGTGTATTTACCTGCCACTTGTAATACCAGTAAGATTCTGCCGTCTCATTACTATTATTGGAAATTTACTTAAATTTTTTACTGTTGAATAAATACAGATGGATTTAGGTGACATAAGTATTCTCATAATGGCCAAAACTCATCACACACATAACATAAATTTACATTTGGATTAGTGTAATAAACATTGAGCAGCGAGAAGTAACAAACCACTTGAACAGAATATTGAAAGAAAAAAAATCTGTATATTTTGGCCCCAGTGCAAGATCCTTTTTAGCATAGTATGGTAAAAAATGGCTGGCACAGAGCAAACCTTTATTTACAGGCACTTTTATATGAATAAAAAAATAATAGATATTATTTTGTTTTAAGTCGGAAAATTTATCAAGTCTACTGACTTGATAAAGCTCTATGTACTTAAGAATGAAATGTCATCTGTAAATAAATTTTTATTCTGCAATAACATTCTTTTTTTTTTTTTTACCATATTTGTCAGCAAGTCTTGCCATGCAATATCAGTAAGTCTCGGAAGCTAAAATGCAGTAGCATTATTATTATTATTATTAGTAGTAGTAGTACGTTCATATGGGAGCAATAAACCTATAGGGAAGGAAGGTCACATACAATGCCCAGGAAAATGGGAAGCACTCAGGTTCATCCGGGTAAACGAAGGTCCAGTTCCTTGGACATTAAGCTCCTGACTGGCATAAAGGAGCTTCCACTGAGGAACCAAAATACAGCACAGTATACAGTTTCTGTTTTACTAAATTTTCTGTCCAAGTGATTTCTAAAAAAAAACTTCACATTCATCATCATAACTTTCACAGTCACATCAACATTTGATAATTTAAAACCTTTTAAAGACTTTTACAAATAATGTCAATCTGGCACTTTCAACTTACTGTAAAAATTTATTTGAAATTAATTTCTATACGGGACCTTGCTACATTATTTTATATGTTTTATTTCAATAACTATAAACCTCTGGTACAATCATCCACTATCCATTGACTCCTGAGTCTATTATTATTATTATCATTATCATCTGAGTGTATTATTATTATTATCATTATCATCTGAGTGTATTTATATTATTATTACAATAACATCAAACAGGGGGATTTATTATATTTGAAAAACAAGTGCCAAACTTGTGTGGTTTACACAGGTTTTTGTTTGTTGTTACTGAGAATAAACAATTTTCAATGTTAAAATAAATATCATAGCTAATTGTAAAGGAATGACAGCCTCATCCTGATAAAATATAAATAAATTTAATAATCAAATTTAAAGTACTATTTTGTATTGTACTTGTAACAGCAAACTAATTACTAAAAAATACCTAGTACGAGAGCTTCTTTTGGGTAGCATAAATTATTATTTCGTAGCAAAGTGCTAAACCCATAGGGTAAAAACAGCATTTTGGGAAAGGGTGGAAGTAAGGTTTAATCTGGGGAAAGGGAAAGGTAGCTCAAATTCCTTGGATCAAGAGCGTTTTAACAGCATCCTCTTAAAGGGAGTATTAAAAGGAATGTTCTAACACTGTAGAACTGTACAATTACTCTGCTTCTTATTTTTACTCTGTTCCATCTGCCCCTTTTAAAAGAAAGAGAGGGAAAGGGTGCCTTGATGTGATGAATGGCTCCTGATCCAAGGAACTGGAACTACCCCTCCTATTTCATGGGCACTGTAGGCTCCTACAAATGGTCATGATAGGGAAAGTTTTCGAGAGAAAACTGGACCTGATCTCCTGCAAATGCCTGATCAGCCAACTGGTGATGGCTATGTGGGTTTGCAGACTAATGACATAAAACACCCGGATGACCAAATGGTCCACAAATGGGCCTGACCTAAAGCTGGGCTGCGAGGGTACAGTTATGAAATCAGTCACAGGTATGTCACGAGGACAAGTATGATGATAATAAAAAATTCACCATCTGCTTTTGAATACAGTGGCAGATATTCATATTTTTTATTCATATTCATATTTCTTTTACCCAGTAAATTATCAAGTGTAATGAAAAGGCAAAAACCACCACAACCACCTCAGGACCACCACCACAACCACCTCAGGCACCCCCACCACAACCACCTCAGGCACCACCACCACAACCACCTCAGACACCACCACCACAACCACCTCAGGCACCACCACCACAACCACCTCAGGCACCACCACCACAACCACCTCAGCACCACCACCACAACCACCTCAGGGACCACCACCCCAACCACCTCAGGCACCACCACCCCAACCACCTCAGGCACCACCCCACAACCACCTCAGGCACCACCACCACAACCACCCCAGGGACCACCACCACAACCACCTCAGGCACCACCCCCACAAACCACCTCAGGCACCACCCCCCATAACCACTCAGGCACCACCACCCCAAAACCCCCTCAGGCACCACCACCACAAAACCCCCTCAAAGGGACCACCACCACAACCACCTCAGGCACCCCACCACAACCACCTCAGGTCACCACCCCAACACTTTGACACCCCCAACCATTTAGGCACCACCACCACAACCACTTTAGGCACCACCACAAAACCCCTTTAGGCACCACCATACCAGCACTGCAGCACACCTCAGGCACACCACACAACCCCCTCAGGCACCCCTGTAACAACCACTTAGGGCACCACCATAAAAAACCACTGTAACAACCACCTCTACCACTCTGGATGAGTGTACAGATGAATCAACCTTTCAACTTCCAAGAAATACCTACAGCAACACATCAGTTATTTACATTAACAAAATCAAAACTTGAGTACTGTATAGTATTATTTTAATATATATTAGCTAATGAACTTTTTTACAAAAAAAAAATAGTGGCATTCACAGTGTTTGCATTGACTAAGACCTCTAGGAACATATCCCTGCTAGTACATAAAGGTTGCAGTTCTGGTCTGCATTACTATTTTTATAATCATGGGGTGCACATAAACCCATAGGGACACTTATTTTAATCAGGGAGAAGTGCTAAACCCAAAAGAGTCATATAGGGAAGGTCAGAACAATAAAATTAGCTAATTTGCTTATGAAAAAAAGTACATTTATAGTTTGGTCGAGTGTAAAACAACATGTAAGCATTGATTCAACTAGGTTATTAACAAATTGCTCTGCCACCTTCACAAGTGAAAACTAGCCTCTTTCTGGGCTTATTTTGACAAATATGAAAAAGACATTTTTAAAATAACTGTAGATCAAAAGGAAGCGTTGGTATTCTCAAGTTCAAGTTTTGCCTGCAGTATTTGTTGGGTGAAAACACCTGGCAGAAAGTTCTCGGCAGATGTGGCACTGCTAAACAATGTGGCGAAAATGTTTTTTGGTCTTATACAAAAATTATCTGTCGATCAATCTATTTTGTTAAACGGGGCCCTGTAGTGAGGGAAAGTGGAAAATGACATATAGGTCATTTAAAGAATACTTTTTACCACAGAAGTATATAAGATAAGATAAGATTTCGTTCGGATTTTTAAACCCGGAGGTTAGCCACCCAGGATAACCCAAGAAAGTCAGTGCGTCACGAGGACTGTCTAATTATTTCCATTGGGGTCCTTAATCCCTTTTCCCCCAGGAAAGCGACCCCCACCAGTCGACTAACACCCAGGTACCTATTTGCTGCTAGGTGAACAGGACAACAGGTGTAAGGAAACGTGTCGAAATGTTTCCACCCACCGGGAATTGAACCCGGGCCCTCCGTGTGTGGAAGCGGGAGCTTTAGCCACCAGGCCACCGTTCAATGTTCCAACGAGTACTGAAAAATACTAACCCACTGTACCATTCTGAAGCAATTTTGTAATTCTGTTTTATGAGGTATTGATCAGAAAGAAAAACTTATTATACAAACTGAATACCTTCTTAAATTTGCTACTAGACAGTACATTTGTGTGAGAGAGCTAATCTTATAAGGATTATATAGTGGCTAATAGCCACTGGTGCACTACAGTTGAAAATAGCTTTCCAATAAGCACACACAAGTCCCTAAAATGCAAACCCTCTTTAACCCCATCCTCTAACTGTTTCCTGTCTTTCATTCCAGATTTACACACCTCTTCATCATCCTGTCACTCTCCATCATGCACAATCACATTCAACAGAAAAAAGGCAACATAATTGACATTTTTCCTATCTCAACTAATATCCCTTTCTCCAATGGGCAACAAGGT